CAACGTACACACATCCGTCAGTGTTTAAAGGCTCGTTGCTCAAACAGGTAAAATCCCTGAAAATAGTGTAATAACATATCTTACTTTAATCCATCAATCGAAACAAACAAGCAACTCTGCAAGCAAAAACAAAAAATAAAAAAATAAAAAAAATAAAACATGTAATGAAAAGCAATCAATAAATCATTTAATTAATCGATCATCAGTAATAAATCACTAATCGATCAGTTATTTAGTCACTACTAAATCAATATTCATTTATTCATTTTCATGAGCCCATCAATCTTAATCAACCGAGCGAACAAGCAATTTAACAATCAATAATCAGTCGTTTAAATAATCAATCATTCAATTAATAATAAATCAATAATCAATCATTCAATCAATATTAAATCAATACTAACCTATAATTCAATCAATAAATCAATAATTATTTACCAATTCGTCCAATCCATCAATCACAATTAAGAGAGCAAGAATTTGAACATTTAAGTGAGCGAGCAATCAATCAATCAATCAATCAATCAACCAAACAAACAAACAAACAATCAAGATCAATTATTTCAATAATTAATCATTCAATCAATAATAAATCAATTATCAAAAATGTATTCACTTAACCCATCAATCACAATAATAATAATAATAATAATAATAATAATAATAATAATAATAATAATAATAATACCATACTTCTATAGCGCATAATTAAGAGAGTAAGAAATCGAACAGTTGATCAATCAATTAATCAAGCATTATCTAAGAAAAAAAAAGGCAACAGGTTTAACGGGTTTGAATATTCACTGTATATACAGTAGCTGTAGATGAATCAATCTCAATGATTGAGTTTATTTCACGATGTCTGACTGATCATTAAAAAAACATCAGTAATAGAGTAAGATATATAAGCTTACCTTATAATTTCCAGTAGTGCAGATTCACTGCAGTTGGTCCATTCATACGCAGAAAACGTAGACTTAATGGTCGCTGCCATGACACTAGATTCGGCTGCGTCCTGGAAACAGGCATCATCGTGCTCAAGTCCGAATCTGATGTAAATTGAGAGTTAGTAGATTTAATAATAATAATAATAATAATAATAATGTTCACTATCTTATAGATTTTTTCAAAAAGAGATTTTGTCCATCGTATGTCATTTTGATTGACTGTCGTTTCAACATAGAAAACTGTTTCTATAAAGTTACAATAACAACGAATACAGTTAAGCCATCAAGTTTAGAATTTATAAAAGACGCAGCTGAACACGATTTGTTTTCGCGTCGGGTCTGTGTGAGTAAACGCAGACGCGATGGTTTGCGTCGGGGCAGTCGCGTCGTAGAATAGGGACTTTACGCAACAGGACGGGGAGCCGTGGGACGACAGCAATTCGAGTTAAGCCTCGCCCACTTTCACTCTGCGCATGCCTGATTGCTCTTACAGCCACTGTCCTGAATTTTCTAGGACGTGAAAGTTTGGAGTTTCCCGTCGACTGTGGACGCGAAGATGGCTTCTCAAAAGTACGTATTTTTCCAATGTACAGTATGCAATAATAATTTAAAGTGGAATTTCAGCAACAACAAATAACATGTTACTACTTTCTGAAACTTAGTTTGTCAAAAACAACCTATAAAGTACAGTAAAACGCCGTATTAGTGGAGGGTAAAGTGGCGTTGGGCCAATCTAAGCCAGTAGGATAATATTTTGTAAAATTATTATTCATAACTGTAGTGTAACTTTTTAACACTACAGCCAACCACTGTTCAGAGGACACCCATTTAAAGTGGAAACTTTTCAGGTCTCAACAAAGTTGTCAACTTAATAATAATAGGGAATCTCTGTAGCCCTAGCTAGGCCATATAGTTATAATTATTTTAAGCCTGGCCTATAGCCCTAGGCTAGGCTACTGCTCCCGCAGTACCGGTATACCTACCTGAAATACGCCTTGCATTCATCTTCAGTACAAACATCTAAATCAAATGCATCATAATTAAAATATGGTAAATCTAAATTATTTGATTGATTAAATTCATATAGTAAGATGAACTCCTCTTCGTCGATGAAACCTCCATCATAGACAAAACATATTGCCTCTCTTGCTTCGCGTAAAGAGGCCATCATGTCTTCTGCGTCGTCGTCGACGATGCGTAAGTGCCAAATTTTTTACTGTCGTCTGTTTATGTTTTCACGCTCCGGTGAGCACAAAACCACCGTCCACCCGTCTTCCCGTCCTGTTGCGTAAAGTCCCTATTATTTAACATTAATATTTCTCACGACGGCTTAAGACTGTCTCCGACGATGAATCGCGTCGGGCAGCATCGTACGACGCTCTCTGAGTTGGCCTTTACCCAACACTTATAATAATATTATAACCTTTTCAAATTTAACAACATAACCAATCAGAACGTATTTCCTGAATAGCGTGAACGTACGAAATTGTGTGCTTGTGGGACATGCGCGTATTTTCGGTTCTGTTCTAAATAACCATGTATTATATGCAGCCTATTTCGAGTAACCGTATTTTATTCAGTTCAGCCTTGGTAGATATCTAAGTTAAAAGACAAAGTTTCTGCCCTCCAGAGGGCAGGAGACTAAATAAATAGATAATGGTAGAATACCCAAAACGTACAGGTGCCCTATTTCATGAGCGATGATGAAAGCTGTTCGGAAGCCAATATCCTTTATCAATGAACAGCTTTTCCGTCCGTAGCACATTCCATTTGCCGGAGAGTAACCTATAAGAAAACGTATTAAACAAAAAAAAAATGAGAGTACTATTTTGAGATCTGAATTTAATCCTGTTTAACTTAAACTATGCTTCTAAAGGAACATAAATCGATTAATTCGATTTGATTGGATAATGTTGTGCTATGTTCGAATAGGCTTAGCCCATAATACCGAAGCCTTATCGCATTTATGTTTGCCACATTATCATTAATCTTGTCATTGGATAAACGCCTATAGGGCACAAACTCAAGTTCTCTATTGGAGTATTCCATAAGGTTGCTGTAGCTACATCAGCACATATTGGCATTTAACCTTACCAGGTACCCACTTATAGTCCTTAGTGGAGAGAAGCAATGCAGATAAAGTGCCTTGCCCAAGGACACAGCGAAATGCACAGCGATGGATTGAAACCCCGACCTCGAGGCTGAGAAACCAAACCTGTTCCCACTGCTTCAAACCACTTCCACAAACAAGATCAATCATTTAAATAAATAATGTTGCTGAAGTTCTACAAAATGACAGCAATCAATAATATTGGCACTGGTTTGAACGGTACGCTTGGCTACGGTTCTGGAGTTGGAACAAGTCTTCTCATATAAGGTCTATAGACTGTAGGCCCAGTGTACACAATAAGCTCATGTGCACTTTAAAATAACCCAGTACATCTTTCGATAATAGGATCGTTACCCTGGTGTAACAAATCCTGTTATGTATGTATAATAATGGAGAATGATTTGTATGTTCAAAAGATATGTTTATTCATTTTCAACAGGCTACATACCTGCAGCTCCGAAGTTCTTTCGTGTAAAGACGAGTACGAGGTCGTTTTGAACACGGTTATTGTCGTCATCGTTTTCCATTTGTCGCCGAGCAGCCCAGTAACATACTCTTTGAAGGCTTCTCATTTTGTTATTTTCAACTATCATGTTTGAAGACTGTAAATTTATGAAGTCGAAATGAGCATCATCAACATAGTAAACTATAGGCTATATAAATGCAATGTGTCAACACATATGCAAGGTATAAATGACAAAAGCAGTGCACAAATATAGAAACAAACTAGATACATGTTCAATATTGAACATAACCCAGTTAGGTCATTCTTGGTAAATTTCATCTAAATTAGATCATGTTAAAATTGTTGGTTTTTGGCGAAGTTGAATATGGTATTCCAGTATAGACAAACACAACCACCAAGGATCCGAATTGGTACAGTACCTTGCATGAGGCAGTTGACACACAGGCAACCTTCATCTGTAAAATTTCTTACGCGTTATATTCAATGTTCCCACACAACAGCTATCCAACACATCCAAAATCACGTAGGCCTATACATACATGTTACTCCTATCAATGTTTGCAGCTGACTACACATATCATGCGTATTAGTATCACTAAGTCAGAGCACAATGGGTGTACGTCACAACAACAGTTAGTGTAATATTTGGAAACGATGAGAATGAAATCGTGAGACAGTAACAGCGCAACTTCGAAGAAGATACAAAACCGTCTAATTTCAGTCAGCTTGTATGTTAGAGCGTATCCGTGGTATAATAGTATGATACTCGTCTTGATAGCGAGGGGTTGCAGGTTCCAATCCCTACGCTTTTTTCATACAATTGAAAAAGGGAACTTTTCGTTTAGGGCTATGGTTTATACGATTATAACATCATGTTCATACAATTGTTGTATGCTTTGATAAACATTCAGTTTGTTACCTACCTCTGCTTCGTCCACAAGCACCATGCTCGTTATAGAAACTTTGAGATTCAGTCTCATTGATTCATGGTTAAATATTTCATTTACCTGTAAATATAGATGCGATAAGAGAAAAAATGACTGGTCATTGTTAGTAGTGCATTGTGTTAGATTTAGGGTGGTTTTTGACATAGAAACTATGTAAAATGGATTTACCAGCTTGAAAAACAAACAATGTATAATTATACACACAATAAGTGACTACACAATAAAATACTATAATAAATATTAGCAAGATAGCCCTAGCTGATGCTGATAAATATTTCTACAGCATATGGGTTTTTACATGCGTTAGTTTATGGGTCCTATATCAGAGATTATCGGAGTTCTATCTATTACTTTTATTTACAGGCCTCCAATGACCATAAACAAAAGAAAGTTAATAATGGCAATTCTATATTCCTTTACTACCTACCAGTTGGATAAGTGTAGCCAAATACCTCGTGATTTCTTCCTTATGAGCTTCCTGCATGCTGAACTCGCTTATGATTAGCGTTTCAATATGCCTTTTTGAGGAACCGCCATTGTCGCCTGTAATAATCGATAACTTACTCCGTGATAGGTTCATGGTACTAAATAATTTTATTTTGTACGATATTGTGAAAACATACTTAGGAATAACGTGGCTGTTGCTGCCTTCTATTCTAACACTTAGGCCTGTACATTTTAATTCCTAGATTCATCTAACAAAGTAGGCCTAGTATACAAATTATATATACGACACGGTATAATACTTGAACAAATCCTAACAAAATTCGAAAATCTTCTCCCTTGGATATTGTTGGTAAGGTCCTACAAAATGAAGGGTTTGTGGGACATGCGCGTATTAATCCTTCTTGTGATTGGTTAGCTTTTAGTTTGAGTGACACACCGGAAAGGTCCATTATACCACCATTACATTTAAAGTAATTTGTGTCTACTGGCCTGAGAATTAGATATGTGGACAGCCCCACTCTTAACCCCAACCCTCAATACTGTAAAGTAACAACTGATTTAGTGTGATGGGGTCGTGGTCTATTACGACAAAAGGCGAAGGGACCATCGCACACGATCGGTCCCTTGAACTCTAAGAGTAAAAATTCATAAAAAGTGGCTAACAAGCCAAGCGACAGGGTGCATTGGCGCCGTAATATTCATGACAGAGAAACCACGAATCAAGAACAACTAGCCATTGATATGACGATAAGAGAAAAGGCGACGACGTAGATATAACGAAAATAAATGGTAAGCTCACGCCATCATAATCAGAAAAAAAAAAACTCTTTACCGGCGTTTTATCTCGTCATTCCTATGCAAATTAACAATTCAAATACAAAATACAACGTACCGTATGACGTCACCAAATCATTATTTTCTGCATTAGCTATCATTGCGAATAGAAAAACATAAAAGAACAATGGCTCCATCTTCATGATGTAGTGTCGCAGAGCACGGTACGGTCGCTTGAGGTATCCCAAAATGTCTGACTGTGAGATTGGTTCGTACTATTTTTCTAGTAAATGCAGGTAGTGCTCCAATATTTCACCAATACAATGTCAATGATTCGGGAGATTGGGTTTATAATGGTGTAGGAAGGAAGCACTTAAAAGTGCATCTGTACAAACTTTATCAACATTATGAAGAGCGCCCGCTGCGATTACGCGTTAGTATTCGATGTTAAATGATGATACGCTATTTGTAAAATTGTAATAAATGATAATAATATAATAAAGTATGATAATTATAACGACAATAGCAATGATAAAAATAATGATGATGACAATAATGGTAATATTAATTCTGATGGTGATAATATTAATAGTAACAATAACAATGCCAATCAACGATAACAATAATAATATTAATAATAAATAGGCCTATTAATAATACTAATGAAATAACATGACACATAACAAAACATTAGAAACGACAATTTGAAAGGAACCAAACACAGACACATACGTTTGTTTGTAAACATTATTGATAAATTTATTTTACATAAATTTCAAGATTTTTAGGAACATTAATAATACTGTATTAACACAAGTGAAGAATAATCCAAGTATGTTTAACCCAAGAAACGTGACTCAGTACATTTACAGATTTTATTCTTCATTCAATTTATTTTAATTAACTAAGAGTATGCGTTAAGAAAAACATGTTTACAATGTTGTATCTTTAACGTAGGTGTGGCCATCGTATAACATTCTTTACTGGTGATTAAATTACCATTTTCCCTGAAAGGTGCTTCCCCAAGAGTTAAAAATTATGTGCGTACTAAACCCGTGCTTCTGTTTCATTGATGTTACGCTTCCTGTACTACAATCAATTACAGAAACGCCATCTTTTGGTGTTTAAATATCGAACAGGTTTTTTTTTTTTTTTTTTTTTTTGTTTGGTTTTTTTTTTTAAATTTAGGCACTTTACGCACCAGGACGAGCAGACGGGTGGACGGTGGTTCTGTCCTCATCAGAGCATGAAGACCACAGTAAACACTTGGGCGCTTCCCGAATTGCTGTTGTCGAAGGATCCCCGTCCTCTTGCGTAAAGTGCCTATTAGTTACAGGACTGTCACTCCTAATAATTTTGCTTATCCTCCTTATTACCATTCTATATTCACATTGGAGCTTAGTGTGTCGGTTAATGAAGAACAATTTCGTATTTTGTTCACAGTAGGCAGAGCCAAAACAATGGGCCCGAAGGCCGTCGGGCGACGCGATTCTATAACGGACGCGACGCCACGACGCACGCACAACGGCATCGTTTCGTCTACCGCTCACACAGGGAGCGGAGTTGGATTCTCCGTACGACGCAGTGAGTGCCAGGCCTAGGCTTTCCAATCAGAGGAGATAAGACAAAACCACAATGCTCTAGAGCGCTTTTAAAAATAATTGACAATTGGCAAACATAAAAACTGCTTATTGACTTCTTGTCTACCTCTAAGTTGAGCTTAAAGTAATGACGATAGCATTGTTAGGAACCGTAGTCAATGTTTGATGTGAGAAACTTGTCTGGCGGCTCGGCCGCTTTACTAACTTAGCGCTATAAACTTACTGAATTGAAGGACCTACTATGCGTTTAGGGTATGTTACGTAATATTGTAACTGAATTTGTAAACATTGACAATTTAGCTTAATTAAAACAATAATTTTACGGTTATTAATCAACATTGAGAAGACAACTAAACAGGAAAGGTCTTTGCTCATTATTTGTAATTATAATGCCCACAGTACTGTAGCTCACACGAGCAAAATAAATCATGTTAAAATGTAAGGCAGTGTTCTCAATTTTTAAAGCCAAGGGCCCGGACGTTAATGGCTCGGGGACATTAATCGATTTTTTGTCAGTACCATGGGCCCCAAATCGGCATAACGGAGCTCAATAATAAATCAAAAGTGTAAAAAGTATCGCAGTACACTTTTAAAACGTACATACATACATACAGAAGCGGACGGGGCTTTACGCACCCCAGCCCCCAGGATAGAAAGGGCCCAGACGCTTTAGGCAGGGCCTCGGGCCTCTCTGTTACGCCACTACTTTCAGCAGTCTTTAGAAACAACAATATTTTGCATAGATAAAAGTTGGCACCTTAACAAGAAAATCGAACGTATGCCCTTAGTGAGTCTGAATATCAATTCATGATACAAATTTCACTAGCTTGATTTCCTGTGCATGATAAAGTGTGCACATTTTATAATCTTTGTGACTACTTTAGCCACGAAAACAAGAAATTGACGGATAATTTCAGAATAATTGATTTAAAATTGTCTCTCATGAATACACACCATAATGATGATAATAATGATGATGATAATGATTATGATGATAATACAACAACTAATAGTAATAGGTGTAATGATAATAAACCTAATAATAATAATAATAATAATAATAATAATAATAGGCCTAAAGCTAATAAATGTAAAGCTAGTAAATATAATGATAATGGTTATGACAACGATAATGTTTGACAATTATAGTGATACAGTGTTGATGATAATATTAATAATAATATTAATATCAATAATATTATTATTAATAATATTCCCATAATTTAATGATATTTTTTTAAAACGTCATTTTATGAGACTGTAATTAAATTAATAATATGAAATCATCTCATTTTCAAATAGCATGTGCACACTTTCTACACGAACTGAAGTACAGTAACTTTTTTTAAACAAACGAATACAAAGTTAAGGAAATATTATGGGATGGATTATAATAACAGATCGAAGAATAGTTTATCACCATTGCTTTGGAGTTGAAGTCAAACCACCAAACAGAGACAAAAGTATTTCGGGTACAAAATATATATTTTTTCTTGAAATCGCGATAAAATATAATAATTTTATGATCTGTTTCGTTTTTGGCCAGACATTTTAAAAGGATGCCCAAAATATAGTTCTCAAATGGCGTATTTATTGTGGATACCTATCCCTTGCATGGAGTGCGATTGCAGTTCTTTTTTGTGCTCGGTTTATTTTCTTTACATTTGGAGACGTTCACCGATTTGGTGGTTCCGTTCACAGTTCGTACACACTTCACTTTCCTGGTTTGTTTACCCTTGCTTCCACACGTTGCGCTGCATTCTGACCATTTCGAAGATTTCCAAGCGAATCTGGATAAAAAAAAACAAAACAAAAAAAAACACGTTATAGAATTATTTATTTACATTGCTAAAGGGAAAGGGGGAAATAAACATACATGGTAACCTAGCCAATCATAGTCCTGAAAGTGGTCTTTAATTTGAGGGAAACCTGTAGACAAATTCATTGCCCGTTAATAATTTCTCCATGGTTAAAACGCGCGCAAAATAATGATATAAGTGAGTTTTCGCAAATTTACGAAAACGATAACAAATACGGTTACGTCACCAAATGTTTAGACAACCGTTCCCCTACAACATATCTGTGATAACGTAGGCAATCCATGCCCTTTGCGTGAACCTAGGATCATGTTCAGTTCGTACAGCACGGTCAAGAATGTATCAGGCACGAAAGACGATAATGATAATGACGTATTCGTATACATTATCGTTTTCGCAAGGTTGCGAAATCTCCCTATTGCAGTAGGCCTAACACGCACAATAGTCACACTCAATACGGTAATGCGTTATTTAGAGATCTGATTCATCGACTGCATGGTTAGGCATAATGTAACAATATATCAAAAATTAGAAAATAAATGCGAACATATGGGATGAAAGATATAAAATATGTTGATTAAAGAACCTTTTGACACTGCATAAACCTAGGCCTACTTACTTGGGCTTATCTTTTTTTCCGGAGGGACACGCTTTGGAATTACACTCCTTCTTGACTGACTTTTGATCGTAATTTTCTTTGTTGCAAGCTTTGCTGTTGACGATCTTATCATCACTGAGTCGTCTGCACTGAAACCTTTTATAAGTCCAGCCTGTCCAATTATAAAATGCAATCACACACTTAAGTATGAGGTAACAACCTACATATGTTCTATATTGTAACACATATAAATAAATTAAAAAAAGAAGATATTTTGGGGTTTCAGATTAGGCATGTACATCTGTTACATTATCTTGCATAAAACTGAAGAGTTTATTTAAATATCTCTGACCGTCTAACCCATGCAGCATATAGTTTATGGTGACGTCAAACACGTTGAAGAGAATGAAAAGAATCCAAGCTCTACTGAACTACAGAAAGACATGACAAACACACCTTTTCCACATGACTTCGAACAGTCGGTCCATCCCTTGGGCTCCCATGAAAACTTTTTCTTTTCCTTCTCCTTTGGCGTTTCCTTCTCATTCTTCGGCGTTTCCTTTTCCTGCTTAGGCGTTTCCTTTGGAGCCGTCTTCGCTACACAAGTATTTCTTCTGCACCACTGAAAAATGTACAAAAAGTAAGCAGACTTGATGCATGCCCTAATTTTTTTATTTTACAATTTGGCGCTTTCTGTGATGTAGCCATTGCAGGAGTTAAATATTATTCTGAAATTTTTGGATTCGTTGGTGATTACTTTTGGTAGTTCGATTTGGAATTCCGTACCTTTCGCTTTTTCACGTTTGGGTATTTGAACATTATTTTATATTGGACAGTTGGCATTGGACAATCATGTTTTATATTCGAGCATTGGGACATGATCGCTCACGTGAGTAGTTGTTAGGTTAGTTATGCTCCCCTTTAACATCTGTAATCCCCTTTCCATAATAAATGTTAAATATATATTTAGAAACGATTTTGTAGTTTTCATTTATGGTTGCATATAATAATCCTATCGACCCAAAGATGAAGTGACTGTTCGCTTACTCTCAAAGTAGGGGTAAACACCTGCTACATCT